AAAACAGAGTAAAGAGAAGAAAGGAGATGTTAGCATGGTACCTCCTCTTCTGCACAGCTGTGTGTGAGGAAGTGAACGATACAGGGTTCCTGTGGGGAGTGTCGGGTCTGAGCGACGACCCGCTGACTCCTCATCCTCCCAGAATTCCTCCTCTTACACTCATTCTCCTCTCCTCTTTCAGATCATGACCTCACTCTTGCAGCTGTTTCCTTTGCTGCTCACTTCTGTAAAACATCAAGACTCACTGTGTGTGTTTGTTACATGCGGTGATCACATTAACACATTTTATCCTCTGGAGGAAGGAAGGATTATAATAGACTTTTACTAACCTGCTGTTTCTTTAAAATGATGGGCAAAGCTAAAAATCATTTGTTACTTCATTCTTGACAAAAGCAGCATCTGGTGGTCAAAAATGTGACTGAAGGTAAAAGACAGCAAATATTTAGTTAGTGCACCCAAAAAGGAAAGTTTCCTCACCATTTACTGAAGTGGTTCTAAACTTTTATAATTTTTCAGTCTTCTATTGAACATAAAACAATATGCTGGAAAAAAAGCTTTTGACATCATAGTAGGAGCAAAAATACTTTGGAAGTCTCTGGCTTTCTCCCCGACATTCTTCAGTGTATCTTACTTTGCGTTCAACAGACGAACGAAACAGTTTTGGAACAAATAGAGGGTGAGTAAATCATGGCAGGAGGTTTGTTTTTAGGTGAACTATCCCTTTAATCTTGCCACACAACACGAATATGATACCATGTGCTCACTGACTCACTGTAAAGCTCCAAAGTGTACTTTAGCTATCTACATTTTGCACACTGTCCTTGTTTTCATGGACATCAACTTTTCTGTTTGTACAGAACTCTTCACATACACTATTACACATGTAAGATGAATGTTCAAACAGAACAAATCCACTCAGTGGTACTGTGTACATGTGAAACTCCTCCATCTGAGCTCATCTGTAGTTGAATATACTTTGAAAGCTGCAAGGACATGGCTGTGTATGAAGCATAGGAAAAAAATAGAAATAAAAATGCACTATACTTCTAGAATACACTTCTAGTGAAATGAAAAAAAAAATCATATCTTAACTTTTTTTTGACCAGACTTTGAATGAATGACTTTCGTTTCTGAATGACCACACCATTTTAGTCAAAAGCAGGCCTAAATGAGGTTTATATTGAGGTTTGTATTAAGATAATTTCAGGAGTTCAAACACCTTGTTAAAGTGACCTTCCTGATTAAATTTAGACTAATTTCCTTTGTGCTATCCGTCAAGGTCAAAAATTCAAAAATGAAAATGTAAACATGGGAGAGCTGATAATTACAGAGGTTCTAAGAGGCCATGCATTCAAATTCTTGTTTCTCTCTTGTTTTGTTGGGATCACGACTTAATTATCTCATGATCTTGACATCTTGTTTTCTTGTGACCTCGACATAACAAAAAGTTACTTTATTTTTCTTTTATTTATTTGTGTATTATTATTATTATTATTACTATTATTATTATTAGTAGTAGTAGTAGTGAAGTAATGTGTGACCACGCCACCATTAATTTTCAGATGTACATTCCGGCCTTTAAAACAGAACATTCCTCATGTAACCTAATGATTGTTTATGATGAAGGGGCAGCATGAGTGTTAAGCTTAGAGCAGTGAGTCTGCACCCGCCCTGCAAACATGAGGAGAATAGCCTAACTGCAGATGTGCATAAGTGGAACACGTTAAAGGCGTTCAGAACAGCCATAATAAACAGCGCAAACGGTGGAGCTCATGAATAATTTACATTCATGATTATATTTATGAATATGATTATATATTGTTATTTACAATAATATTCCCTCAACTGTTACCATATTAAAGCAACTCTTATGGTGCAAAATAAGTTGCTGCATGTATGAAATAAATTATGAAGAATGATGAAGAACCCGCTTTTGCTTTGATCCTTTGCGCAAGTTATTTATAATTACTTTCAAAAGTGAATCACTGTAAATAATGTGATATGAAGCTACCGTATGCACATAAACGCTGGAAGTATCTGTTGTGTTTATGATGAAGTTGTGATTAACAATTTAACTAATAATAATTAATACATAAATGAAAAAAATTAATAAATAAGTCGTGATCACAACATAATTTTTTGTTATGTCGAGATCAAAAGAAAACAAAAGAAAAAATATTTTAATGCATGGCCTCATAGGACTTTAGTAGATAATAGTATGAATTAAATCTGGATTTCTGATTTTTTTTATATTTAATTTAATGTAATTTAATTGTATTTAATTTAATGTAATTATATACAATTAAATTAAATTACATTACATTAAGTACAATTAAATTAAATACAATCAAATAAATACAATTGAATTGCATTTAATTTAATTTAATTAAATACAATTTAATTGAACTGTATTTAATTTAATTGTATTTAATTTAATTTTATTAAATGAAATTTTATTCAATTGTATTACATTTAATTGTATTTTAATGTAATTTAATTGAATTGTATTTAATTGAACTGTACTTATTTCATTTTGTTTTATCAAATACATTTGCGGTATTTGGTAAACATAATAGTCTCTTCGAGAATTATTTCGAAGTTATGGCTTGGTAATATAAAATACAATATCATATTCTGATATATTGTTCTATGGACTGTTTGAAAAAAATGCAGTTACCTCAAACATTAATAGGAAGCGTTTTACATCGGGTGGATCTTTGCCTTCGCATCATGCATTAAAATCATTTATCAATGCACTCTGTTGATTGTCCTTTACTTAAGCATTATACATTTCTCTCCACTGATGTGCTTATTGCCTATTTTAATTAAGCTTTCATATAACAGATCTCAAAAAGAGTAATCTTTTAACATGTTTTTACCGAAATAAAATTTCACTTCACAGCCACTATCAAGTTCAAGTTCAGTTTATTATTAATATAGCACATTTCCAATTGCCACAGGGTCAACCGAAGTGCTTTAAAGAGAAAATACAAAAAAGCTGTATTGGCATAATAAAGAAAACAGCAATAGACACAATGTAATAATGTAAGAGCATAAAAGATGTTAACATTATACAAAAGCAGTTTGGTTTCAATGCCTAAAACAAGAAAGTACTAGACCCTTTAAATATTTCGCCTAGTTAAAAGATGCTACCACAGTTGACCAAAATACTAAAAAAAAAAAAAAAAATGAACCCCACCTCCCAGGGAAAGGACTTATGCTTCAAAAGACCTAGAAAAGTCTTTAATTTAGACTTACAGTCAGATAGAGTTGACCACAGAATATTGCTTTTAAAAGTAAAAGCAATGGGTTTCGGTAATTTGGCCTATAAAAGGATAAAATCTTACCTTAAAAACAGATGTCAAATAGATTTAAATGAAGTGTTTTTAGATTATTCGCCAATCGCTTATGGGGTTTCAAAGGGCAGTGTTTTAGGTTCATTGCTTTTTTAATATACATCAGTGATTTGAAAATGGTTTGTTCAAAAATGCAGCAGATGATGCAGCAATAATTGTGTCTCATGAGAGGAAGGAATTTATTGAAAATAAAAATTAGTAAACAAATTGAGGATGTCTCTAAATAGTTTTGCCTTAATAAATTGACCTTATATTCGGTTAAAACTGACTTTATTTTATTTGGTTCAGCTGCGAAACAAAGAAAATGCTTCAGGTCAGAGGTAAAGGTAGGCCATCAAATTATTACAACAAAACATGAAGTTAAATATTTAGGTTGCATTTTAGAAGATGGTTTGTAATTGTCCATTTAAAAATGTGTTCTAAATATTAAGCTCCTAGAGCTTTTATTACCTTATTGCTTATTAGCCTATTAGTTCCTAGATACCAAACTTTAAAAATATTAGCTAGTGCATTAGTGCAGCCATACTTTGACTATGCTGCAGCTTTTTGGTACAGTGGCAGTTATAAAAAAAATGACAAATAAATTGCAGACGGCCCAAAATAAGTTGTGTAGAACTGTGATGAAAGTATTTCCACTGACACATTTAAATAATGAATATTACAGTCAGAGTAAATTTTTTAAAGTTGATAAAAGGGTACAATTTCTGAAATTAGTGATGGTGTTTAAGATTTTAAAGAAAATGGTCCCAAAATATTTTCTTAATTATTATGTTTTAGTAAGTGAGGTACACTGACACTCAAGAGGGAGCAGCAGAGATTTTTATCCTTGTAGATTTAAGAGTGAAACGGGTAGAAATTCTTTTTTTGTGTGTACTAGCTCTGTTGCTTAGAATGCTTTGCCTACGATTCTTAAAGAGATTCCATTTGAGCATGTTTTTAGAAGGGAAATTAAAAAGTAGTTGTATTACTGTTGAAGTTGATTTTTTTGTGCCGAGTTGCTGAGCTGATGATGGTTGCACTCCATTTATGATTTGCTCATTCATTTTTTAAGAATATTGAGGACAACAATGGAAATAAGCCTGTGGCTTTTTTGTGTATTTTATCCTCGACAGTTTTTAAAATATGGATGAATTATTCCAACCGGACTTGTTTGTATATTTTTGTTAAAATTGTCAAATAAAATAAATAAATCAATCAGTCAAGCAGTGACGAAGCCATTTATAATTCTAGTGGCAGCGCATCCCAAAGGCGAGGACTGGCTATGGCAAATGCACGCTTGCCCCTACTTTCAAGGTGGCCTTTGGGACTTTCAATAAAAACTGATCAGCGGAGCGCAAATATCTGGATGGAGTGTAGGCCACATTCAGTTGGGATTAATAATAGAGGCCCAAACCAAGGCTTTATACACAAAAAGAAGGATTTTAAATTTGATTCTTTGTCTCAACGGTAGCCGATGGAGACACATCAAAATAAGAGTGATGTGCATATTTCAGGCTTTTTTGTTAAAAATCTAACTAAACTGTAGGTGAGTGATCTGAGACTTAGGCAGTCAAAAATAGAGACTATCAGTTCTGAAAATGTGCAAAAGCCTCCTGTAGGCCTGTGATACAGATACTAAACTGTGACTGTGTTTGTGTGTTCCAGCTGGCTCATGTGCAGGAGGATCTGCGTCAGTGTCAGAGAGACAGAGATGAAGCGCTGCAGACAGTGAAGGACCTGGAGCACAAGGTTTTTGAACTGGAGGTCGAGACGGAATCCAAAGCTCACTCAAACGACAAAACCAGACAAGTCAAAGTTTTAGAGGTGAAGCGCTAATAGAGACATCTCATCCAGTGTTTACTGAACTGCTCAATACATATAGAGCATATTTGCTGTAATGTAAATGTGATACTGTCTGTCAATAGGACCGTCTGTCTGCAGTGCAGATGGAGCTGGAGGAGGAGAGACAGAGCGGAGAGTTGCTGATGGACAGAATAGACAGAGGAAGAGAACAGGTGAGATCCTTCAGACGCACTCGTATTCTCTTACTATGCAATGATAAATTGTGAAATCATCAAAACTAAAAAGGACTAGGCAATAAAATAATAACAATAAGTATTAATGTATTTTTCCCTCTGAAAAATGACAGCAAGTGTTTGATAAATGTTATCAATATCAGCAGAACTAATCTGCGCTGCTCATTTGTGCCACACGGACTGTTTATCCATTCGTGCAAACAGCTGCGCAAGTTTGTTTCTTTGTTTTCATGCCAAGATGGCAATTTAGAAGGCTATTCCACAGATTTACTATAGATTTACTGTAGCATGTGTAACTGCAGCTAGTATTGTGACAGCATTGAAAGATTTACAAGATGCGAATTTAATTATATATACTAATGTAGACATGCATTAAAGGAGAAATTGAATATTATTACAGTAATTGTTAAGCTATAGAATTTGTGCATTTTAATATGACAATAAGGTGCTATATGCATGGTTTGCCTAAATTACAATGATCTAAATGTGTGATACAATGGATCACATTGTCGAATTTAAATGAAATGAAAGTCAATACTATCTTTAAAGATGTTATGCATTTGTTTCTGTATTTTATGCTCAAAATAAGGGAACAACAAATTCATGATTTGATGTCACCTATTAGAACATTCAGGAATTTATACTTCTGTTAACCTATAGTAAGAAAAAATGGCTGCAAGATTTACTCAATACAAGATTTAAATACAAAAATCATCATACATATTGTACTTTTTCCCAGTGTTGGGTCGTGGCTGGAAGGGCATCCGTTGTGTATGCTTAATAAATTGGCGGTTCATTCCACTGTGGTGATCCCTGATGAATAAAGGGACTAGGCCAAAAGAAAATGAATGAATGAATATGGTACTTTGTATTTATAAGGTAATTAACTTTATACATTTAAGTAGTAATTTAACAAATTGACTGTCTGGCGTTTACATACAGCTTTCTCTCGGAGTCAGACATTAGCCTTTAATTTTTTAAAGAAACAAAAATTTGACATTTGTTGAGATAATTATTGATATTAATTGATATAAAAATTGTTATCATGATCCTTTTCTGTTCATATGGCCTAGCTAGTTAGAGTTAGAGTATTTCTACAGGTGGGTTGTCAAGCACACATCATCAATGCCCTATTAAAACTAAAAACCTCAAACTACTTGCATGGCTCTTTTGACTAATAAACAGATTAACAGGTTTTTGTTTTTAAGATGCCTCTAAGCGGTTCACTTTTTTTTTTACTACGCACAGAAAATGCATAGACTGACAAGATATGGACATAGTATCCATGACATCACCCAGAGGTTTCTGAAGACCATTTTGTTTGCGCGTCATCGCACCGACCGGGGGATTCTAAACAAGGGCAAAAAGGCAGAGCGTGAGAGGAGCTAGACGCCTGCTATAATTTTGCTTAGACAGGCTTTTCTTTGGCAGAAACTCTTTAATACTTCATTAACTGTGGTTCGTTTGTGTTCTGACCACAAGTGCTTGGTTGTACACTATATGAATAAAGTGTTTAGACTTTTAAAAAGATTGATGTAATACATTGAGCTACTAAGCATTGTACTTATGACTGTTTTCTACAGGAAGAAAACTACTTCAAAAAACTTCAAATACAGTCTGTTAGTTAATGCAAGGCTATTGATAAAATCTAGACATAAAACTGTATGACAACACTTCAGATGACTGTTCTAGAGCCTACAGCTATTCAGTCTGTCAGATTCTGGAGTGTTTTACAGGTCTAAAGAAAGTTATAAATGATAAATGATCTTAAATTAAACAAATACATTTATAGATATAAATATATATTTTCACTCACCTTTGAAATAGAGGCTACTTGAATGGTTTGTGCGCACAATAAAGTGCACACATCATGCCATATCATCTGATAATTGTAGAAAATTCATTCAAAAAGGCAAATGACTGTGTAAAGCCACATAAAACAAAACAAAAATACGATGCATATGCCGAGTTCAGCGAATTATCAGCCAGAATGACATGACGGCGAACAGCGAAACCTAGAGAAAAGGTTGAGAAAATGAAATTAAAGACTTGATGTCTGGATTTATCTTTAAGGAGCACTTCAGTTCTTTTAAAAATAGGCTCATTTTACATTTTTTAAGAGTTGAACTATTGAGTTTTATAATTTCTTAATCTATTCAACTGATCATTTTTAGCTTAGCTTAGAATAAATCATTGAATTGGATTGGATTATTAGCATCTCACTCAATAAATTCCTAGTTACCTAGCTGGGGTCTATTTTCAGGCAGTGCCTAATATCATTGTACCTGCTGCTGCAATGCTTTGGCAGCAAAGTTCCTTGATTATTATACTCGAATGAGAGTATAGTTCCTAGCCATATTGACTTAGAAAATAGCAACTTTTTATTTTCTGTTGGTCTTAGTTCACAACGTACCTACAGATGAGTCCAGCTTTAAATAGGAAAATAGCTAAAATCTTTTTTGATGTTTTTTAGTGAGACGTCTAATGTGATACAAGGATTTATGCCAAGCTAAGCTTAAAGTACACCCACCAGCCTGTGTGTTCGACTTAATGAATTAAAAATGGTAAACCTCAACTATTAAACTTTAAAGTGACTTGTAAAAAGAGCCCATTTCCAAAAAAGTAGTGTGTTCCTTTAAAACTTGCTAAAGAAATAGTTTGGAATCATGTCTGTACACCTTAGAATGTAGACGCTACTGTTTTCATGATCTCTGCTCAAAGCTACAGCTATTTAGCTTGAATACTTGATCCATTGTTGGGTTCGTCTTTTAAAAGTCTCACTAAAGTTAATTCACACCAGAACGAGAGAAAGATGGAGTGGGAGAGCATTGTGCAAGAGCTTGCGTAATCGCTCTGTTTGGCAGCCTGCCTCCTGCTGAGAGAGTGCCTTTCCAAAATTCAGGCATCAATTAAGCGCTCTCTGCAAAAGCTCCACTTCGGCCAGAATATGAAAGTGGCCAGGCATCTCAGGTCGGCCAGTGGCAGATCTCACTCTGAAAGCATTTTGGCCCAAGCAGACATTTGAAGCAAGAGGCTGGAGAGAATCTTACTTTCTGACTGACAAAGCTGGTAGAGGGAGCATTTTGGAGTCTGAGACAAAAATAATATATGCTGCTTGAGAAATGAGGTGTGGTTTCTGCAATGTCAGTTTTTGGGTGTATTCAGAATTGGTTTGATTAAAAACAAACTCTTTATTTAAAACTTTGTTGCGCAGGAAACAAGAGGCCTTATTATTTTCTTGTTTTGCCTACAATTTAACTCTGGTGTCTAGAATATGAGCATAGCATAGGGCAAAGACATTTAAAGAACATGATGTCACAAGATCCAACCACAAATCCCTGGTCAGATCACATACATTTTTCACGATTTTGGCACGATTTCCTTGACGTAGGGTGTTGTGGCTATTCGTCAACGATAAATGGGAGTTGTGACACAAGATTTAATTGTTTATTCTTGTGTAATGTGGCATAGTTTACGACAACCGATAACATGTCTGCAACGCCTCACAACAGTCTAGCATGTTTCATTTTTTTCATGATGAGTTCCATCACGTGGGTGACACTGTGCAATAGGAGCACATCAATTGTCAGTTATATGAGGAGGTCCTGCATTAATGTGGCAGTCAGGTAATCAAATAATAGGCTGCATATTTACTTATGGGTGGGTCACAGGTGGAAAAGATCAATCATTGGTTATGCAAACTTTACCTTTTCCAAAATCATAGTTTTAAGCATTTTTTTTCTGACAGACTGGAACAAATAAGCAGACATATCCATTCTCACAACAAGTTTCTGAGTTCTCTCAGCCTTCAACTGAGTTTGTTCTTCCGAGGTAATCTAGGAACATGCTGCAATTACATTGAAAAAGCATTTCTTGCTTATTCAAATTTGTCATTAATAGTGAAAAAAGTTTAATATTGGCTTCTCTGAAACTGTGAATATTTTACTTTAATTTTATTTAGGCTAGATTATTATTTTATATAACAAAGCAAAGATTTTTCCTTGGTGCTTAAGTGCTTTCATTTTCTCCGTTTTACTCGTGGCAAGTTTAGGTGAGGAAGTGTTTAATAAGCAACCCTGGCAGGAAAATATACATTTAGATTTAAAAGAAAATATCTTCATATTAAAAAGGAATCATAAGTTTGATCCTATCCATGTAGTAAGAAATGCCCTTAAATAATGTAATTATTAATTGTCTGCAAGAATAAGTGTTTATTAAGATTAAAATAATATTAAAACATTTTTTTAATTGAGATAAGAAATATAGTGGGCAGCAAGGTGACACAGTGGGTAGCACAATCGCGTTTGCATGTTCTCCCCGTGTTGGTATAGGTTTCCTCCGGGTGCTCCGGTTTCTCCCACAAGTCCAAAAACATGTGGTATTTGTGATTTGGGTAGGCTAAATTGTTTGTAGTGTGTGTGTGAATGGGTGTGTATGGATGTTTCCCAGTGATGGATTGCAGCTGGAAAGGCATCCGCTGCGTAAAACATATCCTGGATAAGTTAGCGGTTCATTCCACTGTGGTGACCCCAGATTAATAAAGGGACTAAGCTGAAAATAAAATGAATGAATGAATGAATATTGTTATAGCAACAATTGTGACTGCTTTGGGAAATATAGCTTGTCATAGGCGTCACGGGATGACTGATCGTGAAGGATTGTGGAGTCTGGTACATTTGTTACCCACAACAAGTCAAGATTTTATCAAGAAAAAAAAATTGCATAATCTGACTTAGTGGCCTTTGTAACCAGCAATAATAATCGTGTGATCTGACTGGGGCTTTAAAAAAGACAAAAGCCTCAAGAATACTGCTTTTCTTGTTATCGGAATTATAATTATAGTTCATTACAGGCATAGGAATCACGTCACCATCTAGAAGTGTGTGTGTATGTGTGAGAAAAAAATCCCAGGTGCTTTTCTGAGTGTTGTACACATTTTGTAAGTTTTTTACAAGCTTTCAGCTAATAAAAGTAATAAATAATAATAATATAGCTATAGTAATACAGCTATGTGAAATAATTGAGGGACCATTTCAAATTTGTGTAAAAAATATTATGTTTGTTTTGATATTTTTATTATTACTACTAATGAGTGGTTTTTCTGCATAAAATAACAAAAATACTTTAAAAAATAAAACATTGTCCAAAGTTGTAATTGACAGTATTTAATGTGAAATTCAGAAGAATTTGACTTTTAATAAATAATATAATTATAAACAAATAAATAAATATAAATATAAACATTTTACTCATATCCAAGCGTAAAAAGTGGCCTGTTGATGTTTTCCATAGCTGTATGTGCACAGATACGAGTGCAGCATTGTTTTTGATGTTTGGTTATATACAAAATTTACATAATAGAAGTGTGTCTACAAAACCAAACCACCACTGTGAAGTAAAAGTTTCTAGTTTTTGTTGTATTTTCTTTTTAACAAGCCGGTTAATTTTAGGATCATGCATCATTTGTTGAACCCATGACTTCCTAAACTGTAACCTCATGAAACTTTCTATGAGTAGCCCAAATTTGTCCCTTTGCTTATTGTTTCCAAAAGCTAATCTGGTGCATTGGTCCGATTGCACCTGTCGCAACACATTTGTACCCTTTATAAAGTGACAAATCTAGATCAAGGCTGAAGACGTGATTAATAGATTATGAAAGAGAGGAGCGTGTGAGCTTTTTTTAATTGTCTGGAAATAGAGGATATGACACAATAGTGTTACGCTCAGGCCGAGGTGAGCAGGAACGGTAGAGGGCTCTGTGTAGACTGGCTGGCGTTCAGAAGTGGGGGTGATGCTGGGACGGACACACCTGCGGCCATGGCAGCAGGTGCATGAGCCTCTGTCTAAATGAGAGTAATCTCCGGCTCTTTGCTCACATGCTCTCTCTCTCTCTCTCTGTGTGTGTGTATGGCTCTCGTGCTTTGATTAGTTTCAGTGTGTTTTCTGCTCTGCTGACGCAGCGCCCTGCAGGGTAGTGCGGCACACGCAGCCCATCGCTCATCCCTGAGCCTCACTGTCACACGCTAATTGGCATAAAATATCATCCACTCTTAACGCCTGGCAGCGGACAAAAAGAGCCATCTTCTCTCCATCGATCGCTTTCATTTTCTCCTTTTCAATTTTGATCCTTCTTTCCTCTCTGTCTTCTAGTACATAGTCTGAAAGCAAGTTCCCTTTGTCTTATCAACAGATTTAAAGCATTTTGCTGACTGATGTCTATGAGTTAATATGGTTGGTTTGGAGATTTTCCAGCAGCAGCTTTGTTGATGTTTTGGAGAAATTAGAGAAAAATGTGAACATTCAGGTTATGGCGATGGTGAGAAAAAAAAGAGCAAATATCTCCACACTGATGTTATTCCTACAAACATTATTATACATCAACTGCAATGTTTTTTTCCAGTAAGAAGACATTAAACTAAGACTGACTGCACAGATATTTAATGCTACAAAAGATTTCAGTTTCAAATAAATGTAACGTATCCCTTTATTACGGTGATTTCTAAAAAGGCCATTTAACACTGTGTGCTGAAGTAATTGTCAGCACAGAGTTAAACTACCTTTTAAAATGTACGCTACCTGTCAAGCATTCACTGGTTTGCTGGTTCAAGCCCTGGCTGGGTCAGTTGGCATTTCTGTGTGGAGTTTGCATGTTCTCGCCATGTTTACGTGGGCTTCCTCAGAGTGCTCAGGTTTCCCCCACAGTCCATAGACATGCGTTATAGGTGAATTAAATAAGCTAGATTGGCCATAGTGTATGTGTGTAAATGACAGTGGATGTGCTGATTAATAAAGGGACTGAGCCGAAAAGAAAATGAATGAATGAACAATATGTAAAATATAAAAAGAACAATACATCTGTTGGTGGGACATGTGTAATCATTGGGGTGTTTGTATCAGTGCGGTTTGTGTAATCTTAAGCCTGCTTAATCTTGTGCACTTTTTCAGAATACAGCACATATGTGATGTTACTTCCCAAGTTAATGTGTAGTGATTTAATCATTTAAATCTAATCTGTATTTCCTCTGGAAAACATGACAAAAATAATGAGCAAGAACATTACCAGGTTAATTAGGATTTTCTCTATTGTAGTGTTTCTGAGCAGATATCTTATGTAAAAATGAATGAAAGAAGTAATCAAAATTGGTGCAAATTAGCAGTTTCAGTTTTGGAAGCTAACACAACTAATTGACAACATACTGATGTACATTGCTCAGCATATATAAGTGCACCCCTCAAAAATCTCTCTTTTAAAATCATATTTTAATAGGAAGCTATTCAATATTATATTTGTTGCATGTACATTAGATTATTCAGCACTGAAGCCAAATCTGGAGCTTATCTAACAAAATAACTAACCATAAAGATCCAAAAACTGGCACTGCCAAAATTTTATGTTGCATAAAAATATTAATCACAATTTTTAAAAACGATGAAAAATCAAGTGAAGCAAACAAGTAGAAAAAATTTGTTGAAATTTTGTAGGTTGTAATTTATTTTTTGAAATATTTTGCTTGAATTTATTTATATTATATTTCCATTTCTAAATATGTTTGGTAACTAAACTATTATTTTAATCAATATATATTATTAATAATTTATATATAATGCACCAAAATACATTGCCTATATTCACTGAGAAATGGAGGAAAATGTTTATTTTCAAAATGGGCTGTACTCAATCATGCTGAGCTCTGTATTGTTCAATTGAGATTATTCATTCAATTTTCTTTACTTAGTCTTAAAAAACATCTTAATGTCTTTAATTTTCCTTCATAAAAACAGAGAAATCCTGTATTAATATGATTTCACATTTACCAATGCTTGCATCAAAAGTGGTTGTCCAGACAGTTGGCGTGGCAGTGTTTTGTTATTGTTGTTGTGTTGCATTAGGGCGTTTTGTTATTATGTTTGTGTGTGTTTGTGTGACAGTTGGAGCAGATGAGGAATGAGCTGATGCAGGAGAGAGCCAGCAGACAGGATGTGGAGTGTGACAAGATCTCCCTGGAGAGACAGGTAAAAACAAACCCTCCTGACTCTGATCAATGCCTTCAACAGCCATCATCTCCACCTCTCCAACCAGCAAAACACTTTAGTCAAGTCATCTTTATTTCTATTTCAATGTAGATTGTGTCAAAAGCACTTACATAGAGTAGATAAGCAGAAAAAAGATAAAAAGCTGTGGTATGGAACAAATTAAATATGATTTAGTTTAATTTACAGTTTTTAACCATTAACAAGCTTTGTGGAGTACTGAAGTCACATTTTCAAAACAGCTCACACAAAGCAAACTGTGATTTATTTATTTATTTTTCTTAAATTTTATTTATTTATTTTTTTGCTTTGACACAAAATGCATGGAATTATGTGTTTTTCAAAATATCTAAACACTTTTATCATTCATGCTTTACAAGCAGTAAAAAACAGTGCTTTTTCAGCGCATTATTGCATGCCAAACTTATTTCAAAAAGATTGAAAACAGACTGATGGTAAATTTCATGCATTTATTTTGAAACAGAAGCAGTCTTATCAGAAAATTACAAAATCATGCCATGCTGATTGCATTCAGCTCAAACCTACTCCTATTTTCAACCACATGATAATAATCCATGAGCTGTCATTGAGAGACAAATGAGCATCATTTCATAGTTACATCAGTAGTACACATTTCACAACAAACAAGAAATCAGCATCATTTCATAATAAGGCAACTGTGTGTATATATACATACAATATAATATAATAAAATCATCATTTTTACATGTACCTGAATTTGTAAAATGTATTACATGATAAGTATTATTTGGTTGTACACTTCAAAGCTAGTCTCTCTATATTGTAGTTTAAAAATGTTTTGAAATGTTTGGCAAAGTGATTGGGATTTTACTGTTTGCAACAGATTGCAGCAATTCATTTGTTTCATTCTATCAAACACTGATGTTCCTTAAAATTCATTCAAACTCAGAAATAAAAGTAGTTAATTTCTTTAAAGCTCCCTGTTGTTAGTGTCAGTGTGTTATGAATGAAATGCATGTTTTCTGAATGAGAATTTTTGTTTGTGTTTTAGTGAAACAAGCTTATTTTAAGACATGTGGACTGGGTATCACTTTATTTTGATGGTCCCTTTAACACATTTTGTTGAATTTAAGTTTCATTGCATCTACATGCCAATTAATTCTCATTAGATTATAAGTAGACTGTTAGGTTGGGGTAAGTTGACAAATACTTGCACAGTTTCTTATAGTCAGTTAAATGTCTGTTGAAGGAGCAGAATCAGCAGATATTAAGCAGACTATGGAGTCAATATAGGGCCATATATACTTGCAACATAAAAAAAAAAAGTTTTGCAAACAAAAAGTGTTCAGCAAAAAATAGTAGAATAATGCAAAAAAAAAAAAAATTTCGAGAAATAAAAAGGAATCTTGCAGACAAAAATAAAGAACTGCAAATCAAAACCAAGTAGTCGGAAAAAAAAACAATTGCAATTTTTTAAAAAATAGACATATATTTGCTAAATATTTTTTTTTTTCAATATTACCTTTACAAAACCTTTTAAGTCAATTGCAACGCTCATTTTGATTTGCTTTTCAGTCAACCGTGAGTTTGCAAAGCTGTTTTCTTATTGCACTTCACATTTTTGTTTCGCTTTCTGGCCTTGATTTGACAAGGGGGGCAGAGACACGGCAACTGGGGCATGTACAGCATGCCCGGGACTTACTCCTATAAAGCGACGTCATCAGCTGGAGACATCGTGTCACAAAGGAAATCAGCCATGAATCACTGTCATAAATCTAACAGAGATTAAAATACCTGAATCCTTTGTTTTTCAGGGGGCTGTTTAAATTGTCAAACAGTAAAACTAGCAAATCAAAATGAGCGTTGCAATTGACTTGAGACGTTTTGTAAAGGCAATACTGCAAAAACATTTAGCAAATATACAAATATAAAAAAAAAATTGCAAAGATTATTTTTTCCCCATTACTTGATTTTTATTAGCAGTTCTTTATTTTTGTTTCCACTTTATTTTAGTTTTTTTTTTTTTTTTAGATTTGCATAATTTAAAAAAAATATCAATACATTATTTTGTTTGCAAAACTTTCTTTTATTTTTTAAGTATATATGGCCCTATATTGACTCTATAGTAGACAGTCTACTAATACTCATATAAGAAGTAATTGGCACGTAGTGGTAGTGTAACTTTTAGTCATCGAAATGTGCAATAGGGACCATCAAAATAAAGTCTTGCCATGAGTTGTTTTCTGTTGTGCTGGTCTGAATGAGTTTTGGAGGTGAGCTTGAACAGTGAAAATGTGGCTTCAGTACTGCATGTCCCTGTTAATGATGATACAGTGGACCACTAACCTTCTTCATATACAATTTCATGTTTTTCTTTTTGTATGAAGAATAAAGATCTGAAGAGCAGGATTGCTTATCTGGAAGGATCTCACAAGCCTAGTAAGGATGGACTGGTGTCCCAACTGGAAACCCGCATCCAGGAACTGGAGGAGAGACTGGAAGGAGAAGAGAGGTAAAACAGCTAATGTGTCTAATGCATAGGTCTTAAACTCAATTCATGGAGGGCCACAGCTCTGCAGAGTTTAGCTCCAACCACCTCCAACTCACACCTGCTTAATACTCTCCAGTAGACATGAACAGCTTGATTAGTTGGACCAGCTGTGTTTGATTAGGGTTGGAGCAAAACTGCGTAGAGCTGCGGCCCTCCAGGAATCCAGTTTGAGACCCATGATATAATGTGTCCTAGCCATCACAATGTATGATTTAAACAAAAAGAGTTAAATTTGAAGATGACTTTTTACAGGGATCGAGCTAACCTGCAGCTGGCAAATCGACGTCTTGAGCGGAAGGTGAAAGAAATGATGATGCAGGTGGATGAAGAGCATCATTCACTGCAGGATCAGAAAGATCAGGTCAGCAAACAGCCTTCTGCTTAGGGGAAAACACCACAATTGTCCAATTTTTAAACATCTTTTAAACATCATTTACATTTTTAAACATATTGACAGTAATTTCTAAAAAAAAAAATAGACATTTTTTTGCGTAGATTGTCTAAGGGATAATATATGTACCCCTAAAACTGAAAATTCTGTCATTTTTGTGTTTCTGTTTTCTGTTAAACACAAAAGAATTTATGTTAGATGAAATAAAAAGAAACCTGTAACAATTGACTTCCAAAGTACTTGTTTTTCCTACCATGGAGGTCAATGGTTACAGGTTTGTAACATTTCTCAAAATATTTTCTTTTCTGTTCAATAGAACATAGAAACTCCTAAAGGTAGAAAATCCTTTTAGTTTTTGCACACTCTCTCCTGTTAAGCTGCACAGCTTTTTCTATCTTTGATAATAAAAGTTGTTAAGAGTAATAATGTTAAAGGGCACCTATGATGAAAATCATCTTTTGTAAGCTGTTTGGACAAAACTGTGTAGGTATAGTGTGTCTACAGTCATATTGGGTTGATATGGAAACATTAAAATAGAATTCCTCCCTTTTTGAGGCTGACCGCAACGTGATGGAGGAGTGCTGTTTCCTTACCCACCAATTTGATTGACAGCCATACATTAACATGTCTCTACAGAAATGCATATAATGACATCAACAAGACAGGATGTGCGCAAAGCATTTCGGATTAAAAGATCTGTTAAGCTCTCTGTGCTCATCAATCATCATCAAATGTGATCAAGAATGAGTTTTACAGGTTTAAAACGTTTTTAAAACATTGAATGTTTGTAATGAATGACAGCAATTTTACCATCTTTATCACCACAGCTGCATGTCAGAACAAATATAAAAAGAAAACGCTTCAAACCCGGTTTGTGGACATTAAATCAGGTTTATTCTGTACATTAACATGAAAGATATCCAGACAGCAGTGTATATTAACGTGTATCCTGTCATATTTGCCATACAATAACTGCAAATTTAAACGTGTGCAATGTGTGTGCGCGTGAACTTTGTAACGAAATTGTGTGACTCATTATTGCAGAAAGACTTGAGTTTGTCTCCACAACCAATACATCAAATAATCATTGGTAAAGTTTTACTAAGGTATTTCTCACATACATTATGTGAGATCTGCTTCCTTCATGTCTGTCACTGTGCTGTTTATCTGACGCAGCCGAAGCGGAGATTGAGGCACACTCTGACAGGCACGTGGGAACGGTGGGCGGGGAGAACCAGCATTAAAGGCACAGGCAACAAAAATAGCTACATTGTGCTCAGAGTATAATTCATATAATACATAATCTAAAAAAGTTTAAGTTTTTAAATTAAGTTTAACAGCTTAATTACTCCCACCATGGGCAATTAAATTAGGGCAGTAGCATTTCATGATACAACCAACACATAAAGAGACAAATCACTTACAAACAATATTAAAAACACAATCCAGCATGCATAAATGGCACTAAAAAAACATAGGAAGCACTCGTATATTTCAAATTTAAAACTTGCTAAAATGTAAGGTTGTAAAGCCTCATTGCCTCAGAAACAAAGGGGAATTCATATCTGTTAGAAGAGCATTTAATGCTCCTAAACCTTCTTCCAGAGGGCAACAACAAAAAAAAGGCTTCAGAGGATGGGAATCATCTCCTATCACGCTTTGAGCTTTCCTTTTCGATGGGTGTTTTGAGCTGAAACTTCACAGACACATTCTGTAGGCACAAAATACTTCTCTTAAATCTTAAAAAAGGGGTCAAATATGTGCTCTTCAAAGATTTAGCTTTGAATCACAGGAATAAAAGACATTTTAAAGTGTATTAAATGGAATGTGTTTGTTAAATTCAAATTGTACCGACGTTTACCCATCAAACTGTTTTATGAAATAAAGTTTTGGCATGTACTGTAGTAACAATCTAAAATGAAGCAAAAATGATGCAAGAGGATGAAAAACATCATTCACTGCAGGATCAGAAAGATCAGGTCAGCAAACAGCCCTCCACTGAGAGGACAGTGTAAAAAGATCTTAAGTAAGATATAAAAGTAAGTAAGCTCTATATATAAACTGTGTGTATTTGTAGAGGGTGAAAGAAAGGTACTTTATGTATGTTGCAACAGTGTGCAACAGTGATTCTGCTGAATTGTGATAAATATGTAGTCATTGCTGTCGGTTTCTGATGTGTGGTGCTGTATGTGTGTGTGTAGCTGAACCTGCGTCTGAAGGCTCTGAAGAGGCAGATGGATGAGGCGGAGGAGGAGATCGACCGACTGGAGCACAGCAAAAAGAAACTGCAGAGAGACCTGGAGGAGCAGCAGGAGGCCAACGAACAGCTCCAGAGTCAGCTCAAAACACTGCGCACTGAGATGAGGTAATGATTTGCTCTGCGAAATACATTACTGCTGATCTGGGATCAGTAGCTTCAAGTCATCTGTAGCAATTCATTATCACTGATGGACTGACATCTTACTGTATTTGCTATTAAAAATCAAGCTGTCGTCTTCACCTATCTGAATATTTATAATCAACCTTAAGATAATATTGTAATCGTTTAAATGGAGTGCAAGTTGACATCATCAAGTTCAAAAGATTTGACTGAATACTGAAGCCTTTTACGCCTTATTGTTTATTTTTTTTACATTTAATAATAATTTACATTTTACATTTACCTTTAATTTTATTGGTTAGGTTATACCACACAAGCAAGAATACTGTTTTCCCTTTTGTTTATATGAGAGTGGGATTTTGCTAATGAAATGATTTTATACAATAATTAAGTGAATAAGAAGTTAATCAGACTCCCTAATTTTTCACGACATTTTTGTAATATTTTTTTTTGTGGTAATTCTTGGAAATTTGCAGACAATTTTGCAATTAAAATTGTATACAAATATAAATGTATATAAATATAAACATAAAAATGTATAGAAATATCTTGTTTACCATATTAGGTAGCCTACTATGTTAGGTGTTCAATCTGACACAATGACACAAATCATCATAAAAATAAAAGCTTCTTTATTTTGGTCTCATCAAGACAAGGGGCTCGTTTCAGAAAGGAGGTTTAGTGAAAGCTCAGAGTATTCTAACCCTGAAATGAGAAAAACTCTGGGTTTTCAAAATGGCAGGTTTACAGCTACCAAGGTAACTTACTCTGTGAATCTAACCTGGTCAGGAGCATGTTTTATTCTCTAAACTCAAAGTTTCTGTCAGCTTCCTCCCCTTTTTTAAAAGATGAAGTGGTATTTCTCGCCTTAGCCTTACATTTCCACCCACTTATTTTAATGCTCATTTTTGATACACGCATAAAAACGATTGATGGAAACGGAAAATACGCATTAAAAACATATGCACATAACTGAGTTGGATAAACTTTTATTCGATAAGAAAAAATGTGCAAAAGGTGTGATAGAAACACTGAACAAATTCCAGTATGTGCAGTAAACAAAAATGTTTGTTATAAGAGATATGATGATAAAAATGTGTGTGAATGGACAAACCAGCTGGCTGAACACTTTGTAAAACATCTGAAATGTTGTTTTGGTCATTCTTAAACGCCTTAACTGTTTCAGTATTAATGTATATCATTAATGAGTGTTAATAGCGTCTGTTCTCCGCGCCTCATGGCCTCAAACGCCCCCACGTGTTATTGTGTCAGCATTGTCTTCTGAGGTGCAAGTACATTTATTAAATAAAGAAAAGATTGACGCAGCTTCTTCTACCGCAGTAAATTTTGTTTTTTATTATTAATATTTGCAGCCAATTAATCAGGAAGTGACTATTTTTAGAGTCTATTTAGACTATTTAGAGTTTCATATTAGACACCATATTATTTTTTGTTTGATTTGTCAAAATAAATGTCTCTGAACAAAGCAGAAAGAAACCGCAGGCATCTGCAGTGTTTTTGTTTTCAAGAATTGATTCTTTTTTGAACAAATCACTTGAGTCAATTATTCAATAAATCATCACTGATCACATGGTTCAATTTTAAATGAATTAACTGTTTTGAAGGAATTGCTTGAATCGGGTACCATGAATAAGTTTAAGAATAGATGATTTTTGCCCCTTCTTCCAGATTAATGTGTTTTTGCTTGTGTTTTATGTTAAATTAGAAATTGAATGAAAATGAATAATAAATAACTGAAATAGGAATTAAAATAATTTGTTCGGGGGTGACGCAGTGGCAGTGCTGTCGCCTCACAGCAAGAAGGTCGCTGATTCAAGTGTCGGCTGGGTCAGTTGGCGTTTCTGTGTGGGGTTTGCATGTTCTCCCTGCATTCGCATGGATTTCCTCCAGGTGCTCCAGTTTCCCCCACAGTCCAAAGACATGCGGTACAGGTGAATTGGGTAGACTAAATTGTCCGTAGTGTATGAGTGTGTGTGAATGAGTGTGTGGATTTTGCTCAGAGATGGGTTGCGGCTGGAAGGGCATCCGCTGTGTAAAAACGTGTTGGATAAGTTGGTGGTTCATTCCGCTGTGGCGACCCCAGATTAATAAAGGGAATAAGTCGAAAAGAAAATGAATGAATGAATGAATAGTTTGTTCGTTAACATGTTTTTTTTAAGCAATAAAATTAAAAGGTTTTCATTTTTAATGACATTTTTAATGATTTTTTAGTTACAGTAACTAGCTTTAGTGCAAGTGTGTTTGAGAAACTTGCTTTCATCACTGCAAGTCTTAAAGGCTGGGCAACCCTCATTATTTATCGAAACAGCTTTTAACAGTTTTACATCAGACAAAACCAGGTCAGCTAATAAGTAATAAAACAGGCATGTAAGCACATTCAGTGAAATCGTTATTAATTATACTGATTCAAATTCCGCTGGTGAACTTCTGGTATGATTTATACCAGTGTTTTTCAACCACGTTCCTGGAGGACCACCAGCTCTACACATTTACCATGTCTCCCTAACCAAACACACCTGATTCAGATCATCAGCTCATTAGCAGAGACTGAAAGACAGGGTGTGACAGACAAAAAGAGACATCCAAAACATGCAGTGCTGGTGGTCCTCCAGAAATGTGGTCGAGGAACACTTCTATATACTAATATAACTATTCCTGTTTAAAAAAGCAAATTAGACAACTAAATGTTGATTTCTGTTCTCCCACAAGGCGTAAGAACAACTCTGCACAAGTCCTGAATGCAGATGATGACGACGATGATGATGACATCAGCACTGATGGCGAGACTTATTTCAGCTCTTCCTCCGGCTACAAGCGCTCCAGCAGTCAGGATGGCATCATCTCCAGTTTCTCAATGTGAAAACCGTACCGCAAACTGCAAAGGAGGTATAACGAAATGCGGAGTTATGAACTCCTTGCCACTATTTCATGAAACCATGAGTCCACTCCTAATGCCTTTTCCCCTCATGATGATATATTTTTGCTAGATTTTTGTACAAGTAATATTTTATGTGCGCAGCCCTATTAGATACTGTATATCACTGTATATTTTCTTAAAAGACAGTGCGTGTCAAATGTGTTTGTCTTGTGAAACATCATTCCACTGAATCCACTGGCATAAACAAAGCTAAAATGATCATTTGACTATCCGGAATGTGAAGGACTGACAGATCTGAAGACTAATTCTACAATAGCAAGGGAAGTATGTATGAGGGAATTTTTATATGTATCAAAACACAGTTATGGCCAACAGATTTTTTTACTGAATGGACAAGCAGATTTTTTGTACTATTCATATCAATGTATTCATAAGCTGCTTCCACTCCTGTACAATTAAAACAATCACATTTAACATTATTCCAAACACAAGCGCCTTGAAAATGTACAAAGATGTTAAGCCGAAACTGAAACTGTACACCTGAAATGTTACATTGTATCCACACATTTATGTTTCCAGGACTTTCATTCCTTTCTGAAACACAAAACAGTGTTATGGATCAAACCATATGAGCCTGTAATATTGTAGAAAACATTCCTTATGCAATACCTTGTATATTACTGTTCTGACAATCACCCTTTAAACAACACTGTGATGATTTGCACTGTATGTTGAAGTGAACTCTTTGTGTGTCCGGTGCTTAAATGTTGTGTAATGGAACAATAGCACTATTATTAGTCATTAGTGCATTTTTTTTAAGGTTCAAAATGAATCCTGCCTCTACCTCTCTATACACACACACACACACACACACACACACACACACACACACACAAACACAAAACAAAAAAGAAAAGAAATAAACTCCACAGTTATTCCCAAGATGTTCTGTTTGATTTTCTTTTTCTTATTTCAATTATAAAACAACATCATTGTCATTAATGTACAGAAAGCATTTGTTAAATGTTTCTCAGATTCTATCATTGAATCAGTTTATTGCCTCTACAAACTCCAGGCATCCCAATAATCATTAAGGGATAGATCATCAAAAACTAAAAAAAAATCACTAGGTTTACTCTTCGTCAAGAGGTTTCAACCCCTTATTCTGAGTTCCCTTATTCTGATGAACACAAGAGAAGATATTTTGAGCAAAGCTGAAACCTGTAACCAATCACATCCATAGTTGGAAAAACAAATAATATGGAAGTCAGCAGGTTTCCAGCTTTCTTCAAAATATTCAATGCAATTTATCTTTATTTCTGTAGTGATTTTACAGTGTAGATTGTGTCAAAGCAGCTTCACATAGAAGTTCTAGTAAATTGAAACTGTGTCAGTCCAACTATAGTAAAACCAGGCTCAGTTGGGCACGGCCATTTCTCCTTTTGCCAAGCTTCTTGTGCAGAGCTGCAGTCTAGGCACCAAAGGCTGGAGAACACTGGACATCCATCATGGCGAACTGCGGGTGTGAGTAGGTCACTGGGGGGTGTCCAGGCTGGCCCATGGGAGCAATGCGAAGACTCATCTGTACTTCGGTCTTTCAGGAATCAGTCGCGTGCTCTTCACTCCTCCCAGACCACCGCAGCGTCAGCTCAGGATATAGCCTGGTCCAGGATTATGGGATACCTTGACATTATTTCTTCACAGGTCTCCAGATGAGTATTGTATAATGTTCAAAGTGTATTTAAACATGAGATGCAAAAATGAAGTGCTATAAATGAAATCGTAATATAAACAGACATAAAAACAAACATGTAAAGCATATGACGATTTCTAACAAAATGTCTGGTGTGTTAAGATAGGAGGAGTGTGTCCTACAGGTAGTTGTCAAGCCCGATCACCTGGTGGAGCACATTCATGCATCATACCATCATGCAATGCATTATGTATGCTTTACTAAAAAGATAAGTCTTTATTCTAGTTTTGAACTGCGAGAGTGTGTCTGAGCCTAATAATGTCCTAATGAGACATTATTAGGAAGGCTGTTCCAGAGTTTAGGAGCCATAAACAAGAAGGTTCGACCTCCTTTAGTAGACTTAACTATTCTAGGTATGGTACCACCAGAAGCCCTGAGTTTAGAGATCTTAAAGAGCAGGTTGGATTGTAGCGAGACAGAAGGTTGGCTAGATAAACAGGAGCTAGATTATTTAAAGCTTTATAGGTAAGAAGCAATATTTTATAAACAATAAAGAACTTAACAGACAGCTAGTTTAAAGAGAATAAAATTGGGGTGATATAGAAGTATCTTCTTTTGTCTTTAACAGATAAAGGGAGTCAAACATGTTTAGAACAAGTAAAGGGGGAGTAAACCCTTCTGAAAATTATCCATGGTTTTACTAGAGTAAAACTGTAGTGAATATGACTGTAGTAGGCATGTTTGTTAGTTTTTTTTTTGGTGCGTACTGTTTAAAAAAAACTTGAAACATTTTAAGACAATTGGTTTACTGTAGTAATATGTAGTAATACTATAATAACACTGTATGAACCATGGCTGTAGTAACCTTTTTTTTTTTTTTTTTTTTGCCCAATCCATGGTATTCTAGTAATATTACAGTATTAATACATTTATACAGTAGTAATCATAACCTGGTTGCAAGATTATGCAAAAATGTCTACAACAACAAAATAATAACATAATATAAGTTGCATTTTATGATACAGATTTTATTAAAAACATTTTCATCTTCATTTTATTTGAAAGAGAATGTGAATTGTGTTTACATGTGCGAGTAATATAATCACACACACATACACACACGCACACACACACAGATATGTATATAAATGTGTGTGTGTGTGTGTGTGTGTGTGTGTGTGTGTGTGTGTATATATATATATATATATATATATATATATATATATATATATATATATATATATATATATATATATATACCGTAGTAAAATATGTTCCGTTTTATAGTTACTTCAAAAGATCCTGGAAAAGAACTCTGGATAAAACAGAACTGGAACAAAAATCTCTCTCTGGACTGTATGAGAGGCCCCGAGCCTCTCAGCATGTACAGTACGGCCCTCTGTATTGTTGCTGAACAACAAACTACCCTACTGATGTGTGAGAGAGCAGCACAGATTCTTGGCCAGACAGTCACTCATCAGGGCGGGTCTGCTGGGAAGATCCAAGATTCCTGAAATTCCAAACCCACTCCTCACATATACACTCACACACCCAGTGTTTTGTGATAAAACATTTTTTTGAAAGCTGTGGTAAGATATTATTATTTTAGTGTACAGTTATAGAAACCGTTTCTGAACGAGTTTTGAGCTTTATAGCTCTCTTCTGCTCTCTTACGGCCAGATTGTGGCACTGCATGTTTGAAAGTTAATTGTAACCACAGTTAAAACAGATACAGAATTATTGCATTAGTAACTAAACCCCTGGGGTATAATAGTTATTATTTCAGTCTGGAATGTTTGAACATTGAGATTATGAGATTTTTATGGTTCTTGTCTGCACTCCTCCGTTCAGCTACAACAGGAATTGTTATGAGTTAACAAAATAAAATTGATAAATAAATTTTCAATTTGTTAAACATTTTAAATAAACTGAAGTGCTGAAATAACATTTAAATAATTATATGTATTATTTATAACTATTATAAATAATAATAATAACAACAACATAATACTAATCTGTCATTACAGGCCCACAGTTTATTCTTCTGTTGCACAAAAAAAGATACCTTAAATTATGTTAGCTAACTGGTATCCATTGACTGCCATGGTATATTAATTCATTCATTCATTTGTACCTATTATGGATTAAAAAAAATGTTTGGTTTAAAAATAAAAGGAAACTCATACAAGATTTGGGACCGCTCTAGGGGGAGTAAATGCTTAGTTGATTTCAACTGTCTGTGTAAATTTCTATATGAGGTCTTTTGCCAGAAATCTAATATCTGCTGTAGCTATGATAACCCTGAAACACTGTTGATATATTATATTATATATGTTAGATTAAGCTTCCCAGTGGGTTGCAGCTGGAATAAATTGCCGGATAAATTGGCGGTTCATTCCACTGTGGCGACTCCTGATTAATAAAAGGACTGAGCCAAAAAGAAAATGAATGAATGAATGTTATATCAAGCACAATTTTCGGTGCAAACATAATTATTTGAATTTAAATCTTTGATTTTGTTTTTAGAAATGTTAGTGTTTTTTTAAACAAATATTTGTTTATATATATATATATATATATATATATATATATATATATATATATATATATATATATATATATATATATATATATATATATGCTATTAAACGATTTTAAGTCATCTGTGGGTTTTTGAAGGTATAACAGTATACATTTTAGGAATACATCTTAGAATAAAGTTTGAAAGCCCATCTGGGACCCTCTGACCCCCAGTTGAGAAACACTGGATTAGAGTATTGTTCAGACGGGCCAATTGCACTTGAATGCTTTCCTTTGCAAACATCACTAATAAACAGACTAGAGATAATACGGCTTAGTAAAGCTTGATTGAACAGTCATCAGGGACATGTCCTGTCCCTAGCGAGAGTGAAAATTTATGACAAGCAGACTAATGAAACCTAAAAGTGTGCAGTGGCCCTTAACAGAAAGGCTCTTCTATAGGGCCAGGTCCATCACTGATCTGAGTGTGAACAAAACGTCGTGAGGACAGCACAGCTCAATTTGTGTTTCAAACTCATACGACTGTTTACGCATCCTCTAGGACGATGTTTATTGTGTTTCAAAGAGAAAGTAAACCGGACAGGGCTTTTTATAGTGTTTCTTGGTGGGTTTTTTTTCATCTCAACTTACTCTTTCGTTGTTTTCTCATCACACGTGATCGCATCGTTCCTATTCTGAATGCCAAAACTAGCCTATTTTAATTGCCTTTGATCTTCTTTTTAAATAACCAGTAGGCAACACTTATGCTTTTTAAAGATTTTTTGTAGCAATAGTTCTATTTAAAACGGCATTGTCGTGGAGAACCCTTATTATGCGTAAATGATTCTTTATTTAAATTTAAGTATCTTTATTTCCCGCTCGTTACTGGGTTTCTTACGCGTCGACAACTACACGGACCCACTCTCGAAGGGTAAATTTATTTTTATCTTTAAATGTCTATACCTTTTAACTTACCAAAATGTAGGCTAACTTTTCATACCAATGTCATTTTCTTTCTTTCTATTTTTAGTTAAACAGAAGCAGCGGTTCAGTTGAGGATTTCTCTTTTAATTAGGTATGTAACAGAGATCCAACCAACCTACTCTAACTGGGTTGATGCTTGGGTTATTTAAAAAGTCACAAAACATATAACACATTCCATCACTTCACTTGTTTTTTTTAACTGTATTGCATAATGTCTGGTTTTGCTGGGCTTTACACATGTAATATATTTTGTACCTAACAAAATTGAAAAGATACACTAACTTGTACAAATTTGGTCATTTTAATGTAAGTTCACATCAGTGGAAAAAATGACTAAAATGACCTATCTGATACATGCGGTTCGGTCTGTATAATTTTTATTTTATTTTATTTTTTAAAATTTCAATTAAATTTAAATAACACTTTTTAAACCAATGATTGGGTTTGTCCATTTTACACAGCATTGGAATAATGCAACCCAGATTTTTTTTTTACCAATATTAATACTAATAATTATGATCATGATATCAAATTAAGGTTTTTTTTATAGCAAATTCAAAGGTTCGTTATGGAACATTATGAAAGGATTTTATTTAGCACTAAAAGTTGTTCTGACGCAGTGGCGCAGTAGTGCTGTTGCCTCACAGCAAGAAGGTTGCTGGTTCAAGCCTCGGCTGGGTCAGTTGGCGTTTGTATTT